ACGGCCACTCACAGCACGGGGGGATGTGTGACTGTATAATAGGATGAGCTCTGACAATGGTTTGTTGGTTTTGACACAATGACACAGAGTGGCTCACCATGGACAGATAGACATAGGAGCTGTGATATTTCATGTTCACCATGCGGTTGAGGCCTGCCTCACAGTCCTGGTGGAAGTTGTGCCTGATCTGGGACTCCATCTTTATCTGTGGCTTGCAGCCTCAATAACCCTTTAATGAATCCTAGCTTGCCAGTCCCTCCCCCACGTGAAGCCTGGGTGAATAAGCCCCACCTAGCCCCTCTCTGCCCTCCCTTACAAATGTAGTGAACACAACTCCCTCCCATCACATTAACTATATGAGGTCGGGGGAGGGGGGACAGTACAGCTAGGATTGTTAAATTCACATTTTTGTACTGTGTTTATTGTATTGTTATAGTTACACAAACATATTCCTGGAGTGAAAGCAGAGCAAGTCAGGTACTGTGCTTTCCTGGGCACATTCCACTTCCTGATGTTATTCATATGGGTTCATATGCTGCAGGAATAAAGCTCTCTCATAAAGGGCAGCACTATACTCTCTCCTCCAGTTCTGCTTTACTCCCACCTTATTTGATTGCTATTTCCTGTCCTAATGATTATACCGCACCTCCTATAGACTGTAAGCTCTTTGAGCAGGGTCCTCTTCAACCTATCGTTCCTGTCAGTTTTCTTGTAATTGTCCTATTTATAGTTAATTCCCCCCTCTCATATTGTAAAGCGCTACGGAATCTGTTGGCGCTATATACCCATTGTACAGTGCTGCGGAATCTGATGGCGCTATATAAATAATATAATAATAATAACGATAATAAATTAGTAAATGTGGAATTTGGAAGGAGCTGCCTTAATTGACTGACTGGCCTTCTGCACCAGGGCAGCACTTTTCATTTGAAGACATTAACTGTTTTCAGAAAAACACAGTGGATGGGGAAGGCTTACGTATATCAGCGCTTGATTATTTTCTCTTATTTTTATTTAATTGAAACAAATGTCACAGAAAAAGGCAATGCAATGACAGCTGCTGTGAACCAAATTCATTAGACTGACAGAGAATGATGGGAGTTGTTGCAGTGCACTGTGGACATCTACTGGGCAAGTTTAAAGGGATTCTTTAGTGTTATGAATATAAATCTGTATTCCTAACACTATAAAGCCCTCTGATCCCCCACTCTCTAGTGTTCCCTGGCAAATAAAGGGTTAAAAACCCTTTAATCAGTTACCCAGTTCCAGCGCTGATGTCACTCGCCACTGGGTCAGCTCGGGGTGGACCTAATGCGCATGCGCAGGGTAACCACATTCACCATGTTTTCTGGGACACTTATCACATATACATATTGATGGGCAGCACATTTAAATGGCTTCCCTGTAGTAAGGAGAATTCAGAGGAAGGTGTATAAGATTAAGTAACTAGGCAATAAAGAATTATGCAGAATATGCGTTATACATACTGCAGGGCAAGCATTTTAATGTGTTTTTATAAATATGACAAAATATGTGTTTTAGGAAAAATTGTGGATCTGGTCACCCTGTGCATGCGCTGCAAGAGCATTAGTGCATTAGACTCTCCCCGTAGGAAAGCATTGCTTCAATGCTTTCCTATGGGGATTTCATTGATACTGGGTGAAGCTTTAAGATCAAAGAAGCTGAACTGGAAGCATAGCTGACTTCGAGAATTTTTCAGTTTCAGCTATTTTGACCTAAAATTTCAAATTCACTTTTAATTCTCACTTTAGTGAATAACCTTTTTAGTGTTCCCCAGAACACATATCACTTCTTGAAACGTGTAGATAAATATATAGAGAATATAAAAAAAAAATCTAATTTCTACCAGTTCCAGAAGCAAAATACTTTTAAAATATAGGAACAGCAAGAGTGTATTTGGAAACATTTCCAAACACCAAAGGCACAGTTTGGCTGTGCACACATTAATGTTCCAATTTAGTGTTCAGTTCTCAACAATTTGGTGTTTTGTAAATATGCTGCATAATTTCGGTTTATTTTCTCCAATCCACTGAAGGACAGTTGTTTATCCAGAATGAAATAAAATCATTTTCCAGACTTCTTTATTTTAGTCAAAACATTGGAATTGCATTGTCTCTTCTCTTAAATGTACTGTTTAGTGAATAAACCCTGTGGGATGTATGGACTAAATCAGAAACTATGCAGAGATCACAGTTAAACTGCACATTTTAGACCAAAATAGCTGAATTGCAAAACTGCAATTTTTCTAGCTTTAAATTTTTGCCTTATGATTTGTAATTGTTTTATGTTATAAAACCCTGGGTGTCTTATTTTTAAACCATGGAGAAGCCAGATTGACAGATCTCTACCCGTAGCTACCGTGATATATGTTCAGTTTTAGCTTTCTTCAGGGCCAGCTCAAACAGTTGTTTATTCTTTGTCACAAGTGAATTAGGGAAGTGCATGCCAAAAATCTGCTAATATGACAGAGAAGTATCTCCTCTGTCACACGAGACTGCACAGGTTATACACTCAAAATGTGTTATGTGGCTCATGAACCTTATCTGTATCAACTCAATTTACAAAGTCGACATTCTGGTCTCAAAAACTTAATATATCAAAGGAACACTCATAACACCATAATAAATTAAAAGCAGTGTAGGGGTTAATGTACCAAGAATGCCCTGGCACCTCACTATTGTAAATTTTAATGGTTATTCCTCTTACCTGGGGTCTGCCGGGCACTATTACCCCATCTTCTCTCAACAGTAATAAAAACTGGACACTCCTAGTTAGGAGCTGATTGATTTATTGATTTATTTATTTTTTTATTACTGGTATTTATAAAGCGCCAACAGATTCCGCAGCTGACCAGCTGACAATCTCAACCAATGAGCTAAGCCCTGCACTGCAAACGAAAGTCCCTGCTTAGGAACTCAAGCCCAGAGGATGCCAAGTGTGAAGTCAAACAACAAAAACACTTTGATTACGTACAATGGGAGAAGCCTAGCACCATAACCACTATAGCAAGTTGTAGTGTTTGTATTGCTTAGAGTGTTGCTTTATGGGTAAAATGGCACTTTTAAATAATTTTTCTTTACATACACTTTGAGCACCAAAAAAGTGAGCTAATTTTATTTAGCAATGTTTACTGGGTTTTCTCACATTCCTTCGATTCAGCACTTTCCAATCGGAAAAAAAGAGCGCAAACTGTGGCTATAAAATAACATTAATATCTAGTTACCAAATATTGTGTTTACAACCACATTAAACAATACAACACCCATTTACAACCAGAAAAAACTGCTGAATGTGTCAATACACTCCTCAGGCAGAACATGGTGAGCTACAGATAAGAACCGCTTCATTTCTGCTACTTTTGCTGTTGTGCAAGACTGATTGTAGGGGAAAGGCCAATGCTTAACAAGACTAAATATACATATAAAAATATTCTAGGAACTATTCTACCATTTGTATCTGAAATAAAAAAAATTACCTTTTATTGGAGATAACAGTGGCAGATGTAATTTTTAACCGGGACATTGATCCCTACTATTAGGTTTGCTTTAACTTTGATCTTAGCTGGGGGTAAGGACCACTAATATGTCATGATATGTGTTGACCCTGTATTAATAAAAACTAATCTGCTGACTATGTCTTATGGGGACATAGACTGTCACTGGACCTAAATAGTGTAGTAGTTCTTTTTGGAAAAACATTGTACCTAATGTTCCTAAACTATGTCTACTGAGGTGAAAACAGAGTATGCACTATTCAGTTGAGACAGTTATCTTCTTTGCCAGGAAATAGTGTGTGTCGTATAGATGACCACTTATTCTCAAAGTGCATATTTGGAAGGCTCTGGTTCTGGGATAGGCAACCTTCAACTCTCCAGATTTTGAGGACTACATCTCCCATAATCCTCTTACAGCCATAATGCTAGCAAAGCATCAGGGGAGATGTAGTCCACAGCAACCGAAGGTTGCCAACCTCTGCTCTAGTTAATAATTTCCTTACACTTTATATATTTTTGTTAGTATTTAGAAATCGGCAGCACATTCTGCCGAGCTATACAATAGGTTAAAAAAGCGATCTACTTTAAAAATGTCCACATGAAAAGTAAGAGTAATAGCAATACTATTAGAATACCGCATTGAAAATGGAGAGAGGCATTATAACACAATTTATAATAACAAGCATCATTACAGATTGGAGTACTATTCTGTACCTGGTATTGTAACATTATGGGACTTAAATGTCAAATACTATACTGTCACAGTGTATAGCATCTAACATCTTGAAGATACTTGCTTTTCCTGATTTTTCCTTAAAGAGACCTTCTGGACAGTGAAATAACTTCATTAAGCTAAAGTTGTTTTGGTGTTTAGTCTCATCTCACTGCTGTATCAGCTAATCTCCTATTTACTATTATACACAAGAACTCATATCAGGCTGAACAGACATGTGTTTAGTACTGATATACAAGGTGCAAGACATTTTGCCTGTGTGTTGTAACTCTAGCTCTGTATGTTTTATATATATGTCCTGTACACATATTTAATCTACCTATCCGTGTGTGTTTTGTTCTGTTAGAAATGCGCCATCCTTAAGGAATAAAAAAAAGGAAGCGGTACATAAAAAGCAGAAAGATTAAACACACTTTTCCACTTAACAGCTCTGAAACATGTTCCATGATAAGATGCTATTCCCTTGTGAATAACATGACAATGCAGAAATTCAAGCCAATGATATAACCTGTAACATAATAGCCATCGCTGAATTGAATTGGCATAATCTCCCTGCGCTCATTGGTTCTCAGCTAATGGGAAGGTGAGGTCTGACTTCATTTATGGGAATAAACAGAATATATAAGTCCCTGCAGCTGCTGCAGAATCACCGTCAGAGAAAGTTCTTGCTTCAACAGTGATTGAACGGAACTGCTTCTGATATTCAGAAACAAAATCATTTTACTCTACCAGTTCTTTAAGATCAACAGCAACATGAACTCTCACGTGCGTCAGAACTACAGCCATGACAGCGAGGCAGCCATTAACCGCATTGTGAACCTTAAAATGTATGCGTCTTACACCTACCTATCCTTGGTAAGTTAAAAAATATCTTGATATTTGACAGTGTTTATAGTAGTTTACATATTAAACTAGCAAAGTTCCAAGAACACTCTGATAGATTTTCTTAAAGGGACACTATAGTCACCTGAACAACTTCATCTTAATGAGGTTGTTCAGGTGAGAACTATAGCTCCCTGTAGCCTTTCTCATGTAAACACTGTATTTTCTGAGAAAATACCGTGTTTACATTGAAAGCTAGGTACACCTCCTGTTGCAGTCACTCAGAGTGAACCAGAGGGACTTCGGAGTTGATGGAGGCATAATATGCCTCCATCCACTCAGATCTGCTGTCAGCAGAGCACAGGGCAGCACTGTGCACAGCATCCTGTGATTCAGTATCTCCTACCTCTGCATGCAGATACTGAACTTTCCTCATATAGATTCATTGATTTAATTCATCTCTATGAGGAGATGCTGATTGGCCTGGGCTGTGTTTGAATCATGCTGGCTCTGCCCCTGATCTGCCTCCTTGTCAGTCTCAGCCAATCCTATGGGGAAGCACTGTGATTGGATCAGGCTACTACATGTCAGCAGACTGCTTGTTTTTCTGAGTCTAACAGCATGCAGATTTCCAGCTTCAGGCTTGAAGACAGTAAGATTTTTACTATATTTATGGAGGTATGAGGGATCCAAGGGGGGCTAGATGGTGGTGTTAACACTATAGGGTCAGGAATACATGTTTGTGTTCCTGACCCTATAGTGATCCTTTAAAACAGATTAATCAGAAATATGTCTATCTACCCGATCTATATATGGGTCTATATATATTTAATTTTGTCAATTTTTATTGTTAGTCTTACTACTTTGACCGTGATGATGTGGCTCTCCATCACGTAGCAGAGTTTTTCAAGGAGCAGAGCCAGGAGGAGCGGGAGCATGCCGAAAAACTTCTGAAATACCAAAGCAAGCGCGGAGGGCGGATCATTCTGCAGGATGTGAAGGTAAACATGAGCAATGGCAAACAATATTTGGGGCAGGGAAAGGTAATCTGTATGAATCTGGGCTTGGTTATCAATCACAAAAAAAAGTTTTATTTAAAAAAAAAAAAATACAGAAAATAAAAGCCTGTCAAATGTTCCTATCTGTGGTGAGTTACAAAATAGTATATTCCTTTTTAGCACCAAACATAGCTCTATGTGACATGGGGCCAAGACTTGGGCAGATTTATTCATGACAAGGAGAATTCAAAGTGAATTTCACATTTAAATCCAAGCACCCCGACAGGTGCCATAGCGGAATAAAGAATTAGAGAATGTTTCCAGTTCAGCTATTTTTGCCTTACATTTGAAGTATACGTTGAATTCTCATTTTACTAAAAAACTTTCAAGGGAATAATCTTAATACTAAACAAATTACGAATATGGATTATTATCCATAGAAATATAACACATGTGTATATAATGTTTTAGGTACATAATGATTTAAAAAACAGTTTTTACCCATGTGAGGTTTTATTCACTAAATTATGAATTGGAGAAAATCAAGGTGTAAAATTTGCTGAAAAATGTTCCAGTTCTGTTATTTCAGCCTAAAATGAGCAATTACTTTTACAATTATGTAGAAATCTGAATTCTCTAAATTGTATCAGGCTATATCATACTTTAGGTCAAATGAGCAGATTTGGAAACGTTAATAAATACGACACATTCAAAGGGCAACTAGCACTTTCCTGGATTTTTAATATGGGTGGTCCTCGTTTTGTGACCTACCTGTTTTACCACGGCTCGCACTTATGATCATCTCTCTCGTGGGGTGGTAAGTGCGAGCCGTCGTGGGGATTAGAGGGATTCCCTGCTCTTGTGCGTACGTCTATGTTCGGGGAAATGTCTCTGAACACAGACATTCGCACCAGAGCAGGGAACCCTTTAAATCCCAAGTTCGGGGAAATTTGCACGAACATAGATTAGATGGATTCCCTGCTCTGGTGCGTTCGTCTATGTTCGGGGAAATGTCTCTGAACACAGACATGCACACCAGAGCACGGAACCCTGTAAATCTCAAGTTCGGGGAAATTTGCACGAACATAGATTAGATGGCTTCCCTGCTCTGGTGCGTTCGTCTATGTTTGGGGAAATTTCCCTGAACAAAGACAAGCGCACCAGAGCAGGGAAACCCTTAACTCCTCACTTACCGAGCAATTTGTTCTACGACCGGGTCATAGGAACGGAACCCGGTTGGTAAGTGAGGATATATATGCACAAATACGCTTTTTTGAGGCCTGATCCTAGGGTCACAGGTGCCTGGGTGCAGAAATTTATTTGGCACCCCCAGGTGGGCATGGTCATCTTGCTAACTGTTGCCATAAAAACTTGGCAAATGTTCAGTCCAGGCATGCATGTTTCTTTTGTAATGACTCCATCTCTCCATTTATATGCCCCACCCCTTTTTGTAATTAGACACACAATCAGACGCACACACGCAAGGAAAGCAGGTGCCTACTCTGCCTTCACCTAGTAAGAACCACCTCTTGGGCCCCCTGTGACACTCCATCTGTTCGCTTCTCATGGCGCAACCCACCTCCTGGCACTGGACACGCTGCACCAGCTGAGGATCGGGCCTGGCCCTAGCTATGCCTGGAATTAACTGAATTGTGATAACATTTTCTAAATCTTTAATATACATTTTTGATACATGATTAAGGCTTTACGGCTGAAACATTGTATCTTTGTTTTGTCTCTTGGACCATAAATAAATATACTGTATTCTTAACGCTGCACTGTGTAGCCTGTGGCTCTATACTTCTGGTTTTATAGCACACACAGAACTCCAGTGAATCAAGATACTAGTGTGCAGCACTCCACTTGCGAGTTAAAAGAAATCATAGCAGCACAAATGGTTTACATGCCCCTTTTGTGGGTGGTTACTTCCCAGACCTACCAACAGTCTTGCTTTTGGCTCGACAGGTCTGATTTTGGGGACCTGTCCCACTGGGGATCTGACCCCAGAGAGCACAGCGTAAAGCAATCATTAAATGGTTTCAAAGTGTACTTATCATGGTTCACAGTTAGATTTAAATAAGAGATGAAAATTTCACTTAGGCATTATGCTAGCAAAATGCTTAAAAAATTTGGTCCCCCTCCACTTATCAATCATTTCTAAGCAGAGATCACTATGCTGATGGCATAAAGGTTTATGGCAACAAATGAACAACAAGGTAGAACAGGAGAACCTTCTCAACAGTGGCGCACATATAGTGGTCACAGCTGCAAATGGGCCGTCACTCCAGGGGGCCCAGCCGCCCTGCCGACCCCTGCGACAGGCTGCCCGCCGTCATGTTTTGCGACCTCGGCCCGTGCAGCAAACTGCCGGAGCCGCCGTTCAATGGGTCCATCAGGTGGCACATGCTGTTAGGGCCACCCGATGGGTATGGATTTCCAGGGGGCCCAGTCAGCGCTGTGGCACTTTAACAGCGCAACTGGGCCCCCTGTGATGACATCACACGTTGGGAGGAAAAGACTGTCCTGGTCACTCCTCCCAGCATACACAGAGCCCACGCGGGAGGAAGCAGAGGAGGGAGTCATAGTGGGAACTCTGACTCCCATCAACCTGAGCCACCACTGGACCCCAGGGAAAGTCACCCTACTGCAACTAAAAGGTAGGAAACAGGAGGGTGACTTAAACATTTTGTATCTGTGTATGTATGTATGTCTGTCTTTTTGTATGTATGTCGTGTGTGTGTGTCTGTATGTGTGTCTGTCTGTAGGTGTGTATGTGTCTATGTATGTGTCTGTTTGTATGTATGTGTGCCTGTTTGTATGTATGTGTGTTGTATGTGTCTGTCTGTATCTATGTGTGTGTGTCTCTATGTATGTATGTGTCTCTTATATGTGTGTGTGTTTGTGTCTGTCAGGGGGCGGGAAAGGGAGGGGGGGGAGCCCATCGATCAGTTTCGCACCGGGGCCCCATGGATTGTGTGTACGCCACTGCTTCTCAATGCTGGTTCTTCTTCAGTCATCTGTCAGCAAGCAATTCCAGTGGAACATAGAAACTAAGTGATTTAAGACACACACCTATCTCCTGTTCTGACACTGATGCACTGCCGGTGAAACCAGCATTCAAACATTCATCAGGTTAGATTGACCTGCTTGAAAAAGTATCCCCAAGCAGGAATAATCACGCTATAGAGGGTTGGGAGCAAAGCGGGACCAGTAAGTGGGTGTTACAATAGTGTAAAACCATCATACCTCTGAACATGGTCATGGCATGCTGGAAACAAGGTAAGAAAAATATTTACAGCTACCAAACAATTTAGTGTTTCATTTTCATTATGATACATTGAATATTTGTTTTTTTTAATAGCTGTTAAATGTTTAGCTGAAAATGTAATTGTGAGTTCACTTTAAAATTCACTGGCAAAACATATATACAGTATATGGTCAAGCATCTTTTTGCAATAGCTCAGCTAACTAAGATGCTTGACCATATATTTTATATATACCGTATTTATCGGCGTATAACACGCACCGGCGTATAACACGCACCTCATTTTAAGAAGGAAATTTCAGGGGAAAAAAACTTAAAGGACCACTATAGTGCCAGGAAAACATACTCGTTTTCCTGGCACTATAGTGCCCTGAGGGTGCCTAGAGTGAAGTGGTCTGGGTGCCTAGAGTGGTCCTTTAAATTTCAAATAAAGAACTTCTTACCCCCCTTTCTTACTCCCCCCTCCCCCTCTTCTTACTTCCCCTTCCCCCTCTTACCCCTTCTTACTTCCCCTTCCCCTCTTCTTACCCCCTTTCCCCCCTCCCCTCTTCTTACTTCCCCTCCCCCTCTTACCCCCTTCTTACTCCCCTCCCCTCTTCTTATCCCCTTTCTTACTCCCCCTCCCCCTCTTCTTGGCCACTTCCCCCCCAGCTACACCCCCCTCCCCTTCGTACTCCCCTCCTCTTCTTACCCCTCCCCTTCTTGCCTCCCTTCTTGCCCCCTCCTCCTCTATTTGCCCCCTTCTTACCCCTCCTGTGTAAGCATTGGCGAGCTGCTCTGCTGTCCTCGGTGCCCGGCCGGAGTGATAGGAAGGTGCATGCTCAGTGTGCACCTTCCTGTCAGTCCGACCGGGTACAGGAAACAGAAACTCCTGTTCCGCGCGGAACAGGAGTTTCTGTTTCCTGTACCCGGTCGGACTGACAGGAAGGTGCACACTGAGCATGCACCTTCCTGTCACTCCGGCCGGCCACCGCGGACAGCAGAGCAGCTCGGCCACGCTACAGGGGAGGTGAGAACCAAGCGCTCAGGCGGCTGCAGTATTTAAAGGGCCGGCGTATAACACGCACCCACAATTTCTCCCCTATTTTCAGGGAGAAAAAGTGCGTGTTATACGCCGATAAATACGGTATTTATATTGATTGTTATTATCCATTAAGTGATGTATACACAATATGGGGAGATATGTTTTAAATGATTAAAAGTGAGACATCTAATGTATTCTTTTACTTTATTTATCCAGAAACCAGAACGTGATGAATGGGGCAGCACTCTGGAAGCTATGCAGACATCTCTGAATATGGAAAAGACTGTGAACCAGGCCGTGCTGGATCTGCACAAGCTAGCAACTGATAGAAACGACCCCCATGTGAGTGCTAGTAGCTAAAATTGCCATAATATGTAGGCAGCTAGACAGACCTGAAAATGACATTCCATCTCAAGTTGTCTGCAGTACAATTCTAAATATGGTCCTGTTTTTATATATATCTAGCCAACTTCTTGGTTTTCCAACCCTCCCTGTCACAGGTGCCTCATCCCAGGGCCTTATTTAGCCTTATACTGCAGAGAACTCCAGATGACATTTTCTTCCCCAAGTCAGTAGCTAATTTAGCAGATAGTTGACTGTTAGAGTAGGACCTGCCAAAGATGGGGTACATTAATGTTGTAGCAGGCTTATGCAATGTATGATCATAAAATGTAACTAAACCCCCATTGCTTTTTGCCTACATTAGGTGTTTAAAAAAATATATATATATCTGTCAGCACAAAAGTTGCTGTTTATTAGATAAGGGAATGCACTGGATTTTTATTTTTATTGTACTTATTGGCTCTCAGCAGTACCCTATTTATGTATGTTTAGGTGAGTGCAGCCAGCCCCTTGTTAGCTGGCATTTGATGCCTGCATGAATTTCTTCTGACTCTCCTAACGTCTATATTACATTTTGTAGACCTGAATCTGCTGTCTGATGATACAATTGGACTACTTAACCCCTTTAACTTTTCTGGGTGTAGAGGATGAACATCTCTCAGACCCACTTTTAAAAGTGTTTAAACCAAAATACATAGCAATGGATTTCCTACTGCTTTTGGGAAGGAAGATAACCTACATTGTCATGATAGGGGAGATCCTTACTTGATGCCTACCTAGGACATTGTTATTCAAACCTATCCTCAGGACCACAGGCTACATTTTATACAACTACTGCTAATGAAAGTGGAAATGTCAGTGGTTGTGTCATGGTACTCCCATGGGAATATCTTAATTCTGGCCTGTTGGTGGGTCCTGAACACAATTTGGAACAAGAGCGGTTGAGAAAATGAGTTGATAGTTTAAGTATCAAATATATCCATGCAAAATACACAGCCTAGATGGTATATGGGCTCAGTTACTATATATACTACTATCCATGCTTTCCAAACTGAGCTTAAGCATCTTTGGAGAGAGTGGAGACAAACATATGGTTTTAGGGCTTGATTGCCAATCTTGTTGGGTAAATGTTTACAGTTTTTAACACAACTGTAAGGAGTCTCGTTGCCTAGTTTATTGGCTCTACCATTGAGTTTATGCCCTAACAATGTTATCTTTTTACAGTTGTGTGATTACTTGGAAAGTGAGGAGCTAGAGGATCATGTGAAGCGCATTAAGAAACTTGGCGATCATATCACTAATCTGAGACGCCTTGGCGTGCCACAGAATGGCATGGGAGAGTACCTGTTCGACAAGCACACCTTGCCGTAGAGTAGCCAAGATCTTAATCCTCAGAGAGAGAACTTCCAGCTTTCTATACATTCCTCCTAATCCTTCCTCTCTCACAAATTGTGGTGCTAATATGCCTTTCTACTGTCAATATGTAGTTGAACTGCAATTTCCATTATGCTTGGTCATGGACGTTATAGTTCAACAACTGTTTAAAATCAAACTGTTTGTTCTAAGCCCTGTGAAAGCATCCATCGGTTCTCCCAGTACAAATTTGGCAGTGGTAATGGCCTCTCTTTGGAAAATAAGAAATGTCTACTTGTCTGTGTGCTGTAGTATTTAAGAATAAAGAGAACATGTCATTCAAAATGCATATTGGCTCTTGGTATTATTTCTAAATTATGTTTTCAGATGTTACACTGTGTTTATGAATTAAAAGCTTACCCTCAATCTTTTATTTCTTACCAAAAAACACACAAATGTAGCTTAACCCCTGCAGGTTTCCCTATCAGTGGCATACATTATTTGACAGCCAAGCAATCAGCCTTCATTGCCTACTATCTACAAAAGTACGTTCCGAGAGTGAGGTCTTATATTAAGGATACTAAGCCATTTTTGCAAGAAATGGATAGCACAGAATGACATGAAGAGTACAGCTGGCTCACACTTTGTCAGGATTTTACATGAAGGGTGGGAGTCTGAAGTGAAGAGTTAAGGCACACCCTTGCAATCTAACACAAACCGAGGAGACTTGAGGAAGAAATCTCCAAGGTTGTGGAAAATTGCACTGGGGCTTTGCAGGAACAATAACCAGGTATGCAGAAACAGACAAGGGAAGTACAAAAGAGTAGTTGGGTACGTTCCAATGGTCAGGGCAGGTGGCAATCAGGCAAATACATTGAAAGCATGAGTCAGATGAACAAGCAGTATCCACGATTGGGAACAAAACAATATGACCAGGAGGAAGTGGCATGGCAGGGCTTATAAAGGCAGTTAATTAGCCACTCAATCAGGAATCATGAGCAGGTGTGAAGTAGTCCAGGCCCAGAGATGCAGACATCAAAGGATAAGAATAGAACCAGAATGTCAGGGAATTTATATCGGCAGACATTTTGTGCTATGATAGAAACTAAAAGTGTATATTCTGAGTCACTCTGAACAGACCAGACTCCATTTTGTTATTTCAAGTTAACAAAGAAGACACTAGATTTCTTTCTGTAAGACTGGCCTCTTTGCCAGAGCTAAGGAATGCATAGTATATACAAGCCAAGTGATAAGGAAGGGGGTTGGACAGACTGTCTAATGCTAGAAGAATATAATCAAATCTAAACCCAGACAATTGTGACAGAGAAGATTAAATAATTTAATATTTAACTGTCTATATATATAAGGTACCATTGTATGGAAAAGGGTAAACTTAGTTCATGATCTGTCATATCAGAAATTATGGCAGGAATTGCAGACGCTAAGTCTGGACAAAATTTAAGAAACCCTTTGAAATTAAATTATGGCGCTATAAAGATAGGCCAAAATGACGTCAAAATAGCCACCAGGAAAAGTTAACTCTTTCCTGGATAGGTATGTTTAGTGGGACAAGACTGCCCTCTATAGACCAAATACCTAATTTGCGATCTGGAAGATAACCACACCTCTAGTGCTTCTATTGGGTTATCAACTGATGACGTACAGAGAGTATGGCCCTTTAAAAGTTAAGACAAAGGGAAGATAGAGATATACGAGGGAGGAGGCAGATGCAAGATATGCAAAGGAGAGAGGAATTGGAAGTTTGGGGACTCCAACTCGGACAACATCTGAGACTAACACTCTACTCCTAAAACTCTAACACTTAGAATTTACTGACTTTCTAACCAACACCTCCATGCAGAGAGACTACCAATCGGATGAAATATCTACTCAACTGGTAATTATACTGGTTTCATTAAATTAAATTAAATTAATTAAAATGTATTAATAGCATTATATATGACTGGATAAAGCACGGTCAGATTTCCATATTAAGAAATCTTAGTTAACTAAGAATATATAGTTATAAACATTCCATTCTGCAGGTGGAATTAAGAATAATTATATATTGATGTGATATCACGTGTTAGCATACCGCTGTTTTTATCCAGGTGTATTGATTTGCTCTAAATTAAGATAGATATCTTTTAGACAAATTAAAAATCTGCTTATATAATGGTAAATTCTCTTATTGGATGGTTTTCAGGAAATGACTAGTGAACTGGGTTAAATGTTATTTTATTTAAAAATACATAAGAATAGATCTTAACTACCTAGGAGATCTAGCCAGCATTGAAAGGGTTATTCTAACTGTCTGCTAAACTTTACGACCTTACGCTGCACTCTGAGGAATTCTGTTCTTCACTGTGAAAAGTTTCACTTTCAGCCTGTGTTAAGGATACCTCATAAATCGTCAGAATTCTTGACAGAAAATGCTATTTAGCCATTGAAACGTAATACCCATTTCTTTGTATTGCATATAATTTTGTACTGGATATTCATTGATTATTGTTATGCATGTTACATAATATTATTTGTTAATTATTGGTTATCATAAATAAAATCTATTTTTATACATTGTGATTATTTATATGAAATACTTTTCACTTAACACGATAAACGTTCTTTGGGATCTGAGAATTGAATTAGTGGGCAATTCTCACTGTTACTATTATTATCCCATAAATATCCCCACAAGAATTAACAAGTGAAGTTGCGACAAGGTAAGGTCACCAACTGGGACATAGAGGACCCAGGTTCAATCCCAGCCAGGCCCTGAGAAGTGATGATCACGCCTGGCAGTCTGCTTGGCACGGTGCAAACCCTGCCACACTTGATGTGACATCGTTATATACAGTGATCAGCTATTATTAAGGAACAGAGGCTGTAAAATTTGACATGGATAAAGATGATGAAATGTCTAAGGAATTAAAATATTTCCTTTCACTATCTGGTAAATTTATTTTGGAACATAATTATTTTTATTTTGAGGTTAAGTATTATTTGCAAGTTAGGGGTAGCGCCATAGGCACCAAGTTTGCCTCTAGTTATGCCAACATCTACATGGTGAGATGGGAGAACCTTTTTATGTAGTTTGAACATGACACAGAGGGAAAACATGGTGACATCATTATAATTTGGAGGAGGTTTAAATCTTGATTTAATAACTTTGTACATGACCTTAATTCTCTTCAATATAATTTAAAATTTACATTGACATGGAACAAGAAAGCAAAAGGACAACTTACAAGGGTGAGACCAAGTTGTTCTGATATATAGGATATATCTGATATATAGGATTTCAGGTTACAAGCAGGACATATAAAAATAAATTAGTTTAAAAAGGTTAAAATAGAGGGGCAGAGCCTGACTCTTCAGCTAACCGGACGTGTTCTGTGTGCTCCCACTATCTATGCTGATTCCCTCGAAAATATCATGGGCTACCATGGAAATTTCAAGCTGAGGTGCTACCTATCTGAGGGGCAACCCAACTAATCTTTTGAGACTTCTACCACAGCCTGTAGCCACCAGGATCCGTGGCGGCAGGTTGTGGCCTACTAACAGGTTGTGGAAAACTTCCCCACTCAATGCTGTACAGTCTGGTGAATCTTCTATTCCCCCCTCTGTACCGGTGGGGGTTATCCCGGTCAACACTGAGCTGACCTGTTGAATTGTTCTAGCTCCAGACGCCTGCCTCTTGATCTGCAGCAGCCATTCCTCACAGGGCTGCTAGTTTAAACTGGTCTGGCAGTGTCCCTAGGACAATAAGACAATGCTCTGCTGGGGAAACAATAGGACAGGAAAAAGGGTGAGGGGAAGGGGGAAAGGCACAGACTCTCAATACATTCAACATGCTGTCACGGCTTCTAGTGTGGTCCAACATGCAGAAAGCTATAATCACTCAGCAGCTCTAATCACTCAGCAACTATAAATCAGTGAAGTCTTCGCAACAGAGATCCAGAGAGGGGGAAAAGAACATCCTTGGCGGCGAGACCTGTGTCCCTATCTGGGTGGCCGCCACAAGCTCTGTCAGCCGTCACGGCTATTTAAGACCGCAATCAGGTACCTTTAGTTCAGCGATACCGATTGGGTGGGCCTATGTAAATGGGTCACCCAATGGGCAAATTGACCAAAACCTCAATTTTGTTGAACACCATTTGCAAAATGCTGCTCTAAGCCAATCAGCAGCTACTGATAAATGTAAAAAATCAAAAAAAGAGAGCGCATATATAAATAGGATGAACAACCTAGATGATAGTCGTTATATGTTCTAATTAAAACAATGTAAATGGTACTCAATATACTATAATAATATTAGCAGCTAAAACAATAAGAAATTTCCCAATTCCAATGTACAAATACTAATATAAATTTCAGCGCTTAGTGAATAATCCCCTTAAAAATGACAAGGGTGCATTTATATGCAAATAGTGCCTGAAATAGTATGCAAAATATTAAAAGAATGTCCAGATTATGTAAAACGATTATTTAGTCCTGCACAGAAACAAAGTCCAGATGTTGTTGCAATATGTAGGGATTCAGAGATAAATGAAGATAATTTAGAGAAAAAGAAACACAGAAAGATACATAGTGTGACTCTGTATCAAAATTTATTTCCCAAGATAAAAAACGAAATGGTAACTCCCCCCAAAATAAAAACTCTTACATTATATAAGATATAGTACTCATCGTTGTAGATCATGCAGGAAAAAGTATTTCTTTCAAATCCACTCGTAATGTAGAATCAAGGCTGGTGGTCTGGTTCCTCCCAAAATGCGGCAGCTGCCTGGTGCACACAGGCACGCTGGTCGTGTTGGTATCGGTGGGGAAACACTCACGATTAATTCAGCTTCTGTTGAAAGTTCAGGTGGTCTTCTGCATATGAGTAGTATTAACACCTTATCAACGCGTTTCGCCCTTCTTCCGAGGGCTTTGTCAAGATAGGTGCTCTGAGGGTGGCTCGGCAGTTTTATACTTTGCCGGGCAAACGAATTCAAATCTCTTAAAGGTGTATACCC